TCCGGATAACTCGGCCACACCCTGGCAGGGCAAAAAAATCCTTAGTTAATTAATTTTCATTATAGACAGCTTTATGCCTCATAAAGTATTTTTCTGGGGTCTGTCTTATCAGGTAAATTACTGTACACAGTGTATTCATTAATTTTCATTTTCATGTAGTAAAGGCTCTATGCCTTCATAAAGGTCGTACTTTTCCTTTGTTTAAGGGTATTTGGGCAGTTTATTCTCTGTTGTATTCTCAAGTAAGCAATGCATACAAATACAGTACAGTATTTTCTGAGGAAAAATTCATACTTAGTTTTTTTAACCTCATTCCCGATAACCCGGCATTTTCACAAACTCGGCCACCCTTCGGTCCACATTAGGCCGAGTTTTTGAGGCTCTACTGTATTAGTATGGATTAATATGAATTTCTGCTATAAGGGGTATGCAAGTTTGAGCTCTTTCTTGAAGTGGTACGCAGGAAAAACTAATTGGGAACCACTGTATTAACCTAATTTGATCTTGTTTACAATTATCACATTAAAAATCTCAAAATTATTGTGTATTTTAATTCAGTATAATTAATTCGGTAAGATTGTAGCTGTGAATGATATGGCTCAATTCTAGCTCTGAATGAGACGGTTGGGCCAAAGCTGTAGAGCAGTGTTTCTCAACGGGAGCGATATCACCCCCATGTGGGTGTTTTTCCATGTTGACAGGGCGATTAGTAACAATTTATATTTTGGGGGCGAAAAACAATTTTATGAGCGATATAGTAAAACATTATATTAAGATTAATTAGATATTTTATTCGTTATATCGTACAATAATTAAACAAATAACATTATACTAGTCACTAGTCTATTCAATGCAGTACGAATTTGGCGTTAGCCTTGTTCCTCAGCATCAAAATTTTGTAGTGAAGGGGGCGATACTATGTAACGGTTTTATTGAAGGGGGGGCGACGATTTGTTAGAGGTTGAGAAACACTGCTGTAGAGTTTATTGATAGGAACAAAATAGTCAAAGGAACCACATGTTTACTGCAGTTATCTTAAACTTAAATGCAGCAAAAGCCAGTCAAATAAATGTATAGCAGATTCATTATTATTCGGTAAATCAATACATACTGCAAAATAAAAAAAAAATACACTAACAAAGATTCTCTTGTTGCCAGGCATTTGACATAATAGAAATTTGAATTTTTTTCAGTAAATATCATCTTCCCAAAACCTGATGTATTGATGCTAAGCCAAACAATTTCACCATAATTAATTGGGCTGTTATGTAGACTGCAGGCAAAGGAGTTGCCCCAGTCAGCACTGTAAGTAATTGTGAATGGTTATATCTATTTAAATACATCTAGAAATATGGCTTGCTTGGGGTTCAGATGGTATAACTGGCAAGCACACCACACGGTAAGCACAGGTCATGGGTTCAAGCCCCACTCCAGACTAGTTCTTTTTTTTCCAGTTGGTTCTAAATTATTTAATAAATTATTAAATTATTGTAATTATTAATTTAGATAAAATATGGCACCTAACGTCTAACTTTAGTATCAAATTTCTAGTAACAATAATTTCTAATGATTAATCATAGCATTATTAATAGCTCGATTAATTATGGTGATTGTTTGGCTTAGTTTGAATTTTTTCTATTTTAATCCCTGCAAGATGTTAGAAACATTGATTTTTAGAAAAAAAATTTATCAAGGCCATGGACTGGATATGAAGCTTTAATGGGCCGTATCCAGCCACCAGGCCACCAGTTTGAGACCCTTGCTCTATGGCACAATTGCAGATGTGAATGACACTGTTGGGACCTTAATAGAGCTGTAGAGCATGCCCATAGAAGCAAAAAAGTCAAAGTAGAAATTAATGCATTTATTATTTGTTATAGGGACTTGTTGCCATTCCCTAAAACATAACTTACTTGCAATTATGGCATCTACAAGCAAAATGACAACTGGAACTGCTGCCATGGGGTTCCACATTTGGAGGTGAATATCTCACAAAGGGTCATATGTCAGACTTGACTTTATTCTTTATCAGTAAAAGTTATTCGAATGTCTGACCACTATACTGAACTGTTTGTTACATACATGATAGGCTTAGTGGAGTGTGCAGCATGAATTCCTACAGTGCCTGGAAGTAGGCTGATTTTGGGGCTGTATCTCACAAAGGGTCACTTGTAGATGTGTTTTCTTTGACTTTTTTGCTCCTATGGGTATGCTCTACAGCTCTATTAAGGTCTCAACGGTGATATTCACATATGCAATTATGCCATTAATTCTTATTTTTAAAATTACTGCTCTGAATGAGATGTTTGGACTCCCTAGATCAGGGGTCTTCAACCTTTTACACTTTTAGGAACCCTTTGAACTCATGGTTTTCTTGAAGGAAACCCATGTTTAAGTAGCAGGTAAAATAGTTTATCAAAGCTTTTTTCTACTCAAATTTGCAAAATTATTTTTGTATTTTTATTTAATCTTAATACGAACATCTTAATAAGACAATGAATAGTGAAGTAGCGAATCAGGTTTTACTTTATTTATTTTCTAGAATACATTTTATGAATAATTAACAAAAGGAACAATATTTTATATTATATTATAACAAATTAATAAAAAGAATACATTTTATGAATAATTAACAAAAGGAACAATATTTTATATTTTATTATAACAAATTAATAAAAAGAAGATTCTTTTAATAACTTGACTGTGCTTGTTTTTTATCGCAAACCATTTTTACATGGGAATAATTGTTGAAATCTGCAACCTAATGTCATCTTCAGCATTCAATCTGTTTCTGTATTTTGTTTTTGTGGCAGCATACAAAGATAAAGATTTTTTGCCTATATAGGTTGATACAAATGACATTAGATGTTTCACAGCTCTTTTGGCAATTTCAGGATATTCATTCCTAATGTCAATCCAAAAATTCATAATATCAATTTGATTAAATTTTAGTTTTAATTGAGTATCAGTTGATATATTCAATTTGTTCTCTTTCTTTTATTGGGAGTTTGGAGGTGTCACAGTTTTAAAAAGGATTTTGAATTCAAGATAATTTTTCTTTTTGAACAGGAAAACATTCATGAAATGTTTTTTGCAGATCCTATAAATGTTGGACCAAATTATTTTTTACATTTTTATCAAGATTAGCGTTACTGTCTACTAAAATATTGTGCAAATTAGGAAAGCATTCAATATTTCCTTTCAAAATGCAATCTGTCCAAAATTTCAATTTTAAAAGAGTAGCATCAATTTTACTTTGTACCTTGAAAATATTGATATTTGTTCCTTGGAGCAATGTGTTGAACTCATTTAAATAGGTAAAAATATCTGCTAGATATACCATTTTCTGAATCCAAACTGCATCATTTAATTTTTGAGATAATTGAGGCGCGCATTCAGATAAGAAAATTCTTATTTCATCTTTTAATTTGCAAAACCTTGCTAACACTTTTCCACGAGATAACCAACGGACGTCTGTGTGCATTAGTAGTGTTTTATATAAACTTCCCATATTTTCACACAATAAATTGAAAATTCTTGAATTTAATGGCCTTGATTTGATAAAATTTATAATTTTAACACAATCATTAAGTACGTCTTTTAGCTCTTCTGACATTTTCGTCACTGCAAGAGCTTGTCAATGAAGACAACAATGAGTACTTCTCATGTAAGGATTTTTTTGTTTCATGCGTGCAACTATGCTGTTCAATTTACCAAGCATTGCCTTGGCTCCATCGGTACTTGATGACATAAATCCCAAGATATATCTTGCTTTTTGAAATATGAATCTATCAAATGAAAAATTTCTGCCGCTGGTTTTCTGGTTGGCAGACTTTTGCAAATTAGCATATCTTCTTGAGTAGACATTCCATGGATATATCTCACAATAACGAGCAAGATCGCTAATCCAGCTATATCTGTAGTTTCGTCAAGTTGAATAGTAAATCCATGTTCAGAAGCTTGCAAATGTCTTATGAGCTCATTTTCACAAAAATTAAATATATTTTTAACACGCCTTGAAACTGTAGTATCCAAAAGGGGGATACAATCAACTAATTTAGCATGTTCTTCCCCAATCATGGTAGTAACTACATCTTTTACACATGGCTTAATTAATTTTTCTATATAAGCTTCACCCTGTTGAGCAATACGATAACTGACACGATATGATACTTTCAAAGCATTATCATTATTGTTTTTAACAAGGTTCATAAAAGTCTTTTTTCTATTTTTCAACTCATTACATTTTCTTTTAAAATACTCAACATTTTTATTTTGTAAAGTTGGATGATTTGTTTCCAAATGTCTTTTCAATTTTGTGGGATTTAAACTGCTATTGTGCATCACCTGTTCACATTCAATGCATAACCTTTTTGGTTCATTTTTATCACCAATCAAGCCAAATTTTATGTATTCTTCATTATACTTCCACTTTTTACAAATGTGTAACTCTGAATCACCAGACAACTTTTTGGTACTAGCATCTAGTTCATTTTCAACAGTAGTAGCGAAACTAGTTCCTGCATCTGTGGAATGAAGCTTTCCAGTTTTCAACCACACATCCGTTATTGCTACGGTAGTCTAATTAAATTGTAAATAAATAATAAGAGTTATCAATTATGATATAAAAACAAAATAAATACTCACTTGTACGCTTGTATGTGATTGTATTTAACAGACAGAATATGTGACGTCATGCGTCTTGATTGGTATATTTGAAGCACGTGACTTTTACCGAATTTCAAGATTTTATTTTATCCATAAAATATTTATTTATATTTATTTTTTAAAATCAACTGACACTTTATATCCAATTTATATTAATATTGTAATTTTTACTTAAAATATTAAAATATTTTAAGTAAACTGTCTTATTAAAATATTAATCTAATATTTTAATAAGACCCGTTCCTACATGAAAAATTCCTTGTATAGATGATTTCCATTTTACGTGCGTTTTGGCTGAGCAAATAGTGATCACTTGCGGAACCCCTGTCAACGTTCCAGGGAACCCAGGTTGAAGACCCCTGCCCTAGATGATTTACTCCATAGGGATGGGCTACACCTCTGATACAGTCCCAACCACCTCATTCATAGCAGTAATTTTGCTTGTATTTATACGAATTTCTTAATTTTAAAATGTTATAATATTTTTAGTTTAGGAATTATAAAAAGCTATCTATATATGAAATTCCGGATATTCCTGAGTTACAAGATTTACCAGAACGCCAATATTACGATTCCTATCATCAGACCGAAAAGGGAAGGGTTTATGATGTTAAACCTTTCAAATTCTTATGCAAAGCTGGAAGAGCTTATGATTGGTGCCCTTGTGGACATAGTCGAAATCAGGTAAATATTTTGTAGAAATGCAGATCTGAATGAGGTGGTTGGAACCTTATCAGAACTGCAGACCATGCTCATAGATAAAAAAGTTAAAGGAACTGATGGACATATCATTCTTTGTAAGATATAATGAAATCATATATATAGTATGTAGATATACCAAATGCTATGTGAGAATCAGGAGGCATTAAACCCTGCTCTGTTGTCAGTAGATGTGATAATCAGCTTTTGTTCCAGATGGTTTAATTATAGTGGACAAGGGAGATCAGTGAAATCTCTGTCTGATACGTCAGGGTCCTGACACAAGTTAGGGTAGACTAGTCTCATCCTAACTCATAATTGATTTAATTTCTGATTGGCTAAAAATATTTTAAGTATGACTAGAACTTAGGAGGGTTTTACTTCTACCTTACACGAGATTGATGATATATTGATACATGGGAATGACAAGGGAGTTAGATGCTTACTTGTTAGACAAGTTAGATTATAACAAAACTATTTATTTAAACAACTAACTAAATCTATACATAATGATAAATAAAATAAGAATAACAAATGGATTATTATATAAAAATATGAATGGATAGGTTTACAGAATAATCCTAAATACTATATCTCAATAGACCTCAACCTGAGAAAGAAAGTTTACATCAATAATAATAATAATTTTGTTACCTGTTTACAATACAGCCAAATACGATGAAGATGTTGGAGTGTTTACTACATCTGGAGATGGAAAGTAGGGAGTTCTATAAATCCATTATTTGACACTGGGCAAAGGCACCAAAATGAGCAGACTAAAGTATGGCTGAACATGATTGAAGCACAGTGGCTAAAGGGTGACTGGTGCACAACTTAAGCACCATTTGTAGGTGACCCTTCACCTTATATATTCATTGGTCCACTAATGGTATTGTTTGAAAATCACACCATATTTCTGTCCTGAAGGGGAAGTCAGGCATTTCTGGCCAATAGTCAAGTGAGGCATTAAATTGAACTATCAGTTTTGAAGGAACTATATCTCTTCTCTAAGATTCAGAGGAAGTATGGAGATGATAAAGATTGATAAGTTTTCTATCATCTTAGTTTAAAATATTATTTAAAATATTAACTTAACAAAATATTAAAATATTTCTTCCAAACTATATATACTAATACACAAAACTCCCCTCAGCATCAAAGACAGCCAACGTGAATAGCTGCTGCCTTGCTATCTAATGGCGTTGAGTAGCATAGCAGTTTTTACCTTCTCATCATCTTAATATTAAACTTAATATTAATCTATGATACATCTGTAGGTGACAATTAATTGATGTAACCTAATGTCAAACATAAGAACTTTTTATCCACTAATTAATTACTCAAAGTAATTAATTAGTGGATAAAATGGTTCCAAATTAATGCTGTTTGTTATTTGTATTTTACTTTCCAAGACCATTGACACTTTCCAATATTATTGTTTGTCTGGTTTGATCATTTTGACTATAGTAGCCTACATTCTGTAGAAATTTTGGTGTACTCATTCCTGTACAATGTTATTTTTATACAATATTAATAAACTGTAAATATTGTATGTTTATTTAATACAGTAATACAACAAAATAAACATGATACAGTATATGATTCTCTTTCATTCATTTATGTAACACTTTTTTGTATTTTTATTTTGTTTCCCTGGAACTTTGTTTCGTAACAGTTCATTTGCAGTTTTTACCTTGCCAAAGTGCACACATATATTCTGTTGCAAACATCACACATTAGTCGCAAACTTCTTAGTTGGAACACACAAATATCGTAGTAGCCATATCCTAACATTTTGTTTACCCTGTTTAATCTATATATATATATATATAAATGGACATGTATGTCCCTATATTTCACTTTTTAGCCAAAACTACACATCGCACGTGAATGGTGTTTGTATGTGGTGGTAGCCCCAAGTCTCCATTCGTGCATAGGGGTGGTTGTGTCTCGATAGCTATAAGGGTGCGGGAGATATGAGGCTGAAAGTGATTGAAAGTGGCTTTCTATTTCGAATGTTTTGTTCGATTTGTTCGAATTTAATTCAAACAATGTTATAATTTGTTCGAATTTGTTTGAATTAAATTCGAACATAAAATTCGAATATTGGTTCGATTATAGAACGATTGTAAATGTTCCAAAAACATTGAAAATAGTTTGTTTGACTAAACGTAAAAATTCTCTAATTAGTCTGGAAACGGGGGACTTAATTCTTGCATTGTGTGAAAACGGGTAAGATTAGCTATAATGTAATTATCTTAATCTTCACTATCGTTACTTTTTGCCCAGCGAAGCGGGTCCTTGCAGCTAGATTCTAGATTACTTAGAAAAATAGTCTTTTATATATATATATAAAAAACTATATTACATACAAATAAAAACCCAGCGAAGCGGGTCCTTGCAGCTAGTAATAATAATAAATTTTGATGTGAAAGCATCTCACAGGTAGGACCTAAAATTTTCTGCTAAATGAGAGGAGCCTTGCATTTTGGTATTTTCATATCCCTTCATTTCCAGGAGATTTCAGGATCACTCTGAGGTTCTTGGTACTGCAAATGTTCTTTGCATTGTGCATGAGGTATTCTGATAGCAGCCCAACCAGCAACATAACTCTTTGTATTTTGGTCATCCAAGAATAAATCCTTAAACATTTCTGTGGATTCATCTTTTCCTGTTTCTGGTGATGTGTTTAAGTTCACTGTCAGACATGGCTTTATCAGTTTCACCCTGATTTTTGCATGTCATAAAGTTATCAAGGTTCATCTCATAGTTGCCTACATGCAATGGTTACAAGTGGTTCATCATGATTGTTTTCATGACTGTCTGAAATTCACTTGCATCAGGGTTGTACATCTATTTTTTTCACGTGGTCATTTTTTAAACGATTTTGAAATAACACAGTTGGAGAAAAAAACTGACACAATTATAAAAAATAAAATAAAAAAATTATTGTCAATGTAGCAAATGAAACAAAAGAAGAAAAAGTTGATGAAAAGTTGTTAGACAAGTTAGATTATAACAAAACTATTTATTTAAACAACTAACTAAATCTATACATAATGATAAATAAAATAAGAATAACAAATGGATTATTATATAAAAATATGAATGGATAGGTTTACAGAATAATCCTAAATACTATATCTCAATAGACCTCAACCTGAGAAAGAAAGTTTACATCAATAATAATAATAATTTTGTTACCTGTTTACAATACAGCCAAATACGATGAAGATGTTGGAGTGTTTACTACATCTGGAGATGGAAAGTAGGGAGTTCTATAAATCCATTATTTGACACTGGGCAAAGGCACCAAAATGAGCAGACTAAAGTATGGCTGAACATGATTGAAGCACAGTGGCTAAAGGGTGACTGGTGCACAACTTAAGCACCATTTGTAGGTGACCCTTCACCTTATATATTCATTGGTCCACTAATGGTATTGTTTGAAAATCACACCATATTTCTGTCCTGAAGGGGAAGTCAGGCATTTCTGGCCAATAGTCAAGTGAGGCATTAAATTGAACTATCAGTTTTGAAGGAACTATATCTCTTCTCTAAGATTCAGAGGAAGTATGGAGATGATAAAGATTGATAAGTTTTCTATCATCTTAGTTTAAAATATTATTTAAAATATTAACTTAACAAAATATTAAAATATTTCTTCCAAACTATATATACTAATACACAAAACTCCCCTCAGCATCAAAGACAGCCAACGTGAATAGCTGCTGCCTTGCTATCTAATGGCGTTGAGTAGCATAGCAGTTTTTACCTTCTCATCATCTTAATATTAAACTTAATATTAATCTATGATACATCTGTAGGTGACAATTAATTGATGTAACCTAATGTCAAACATAAGAACTTTTTATCCACTAATTAATTACTCAAAGTAATTAATTAGTGGATAAAATGGTTCCAAATTAATGCTGTTTGTTATTTGTATTTTACTTTCCAAGACCATTGACACTTTCCAATATTATTGTTTNACGTTTGATTTTTGAAAGAAAAATTGACACACATCGGTTAAAGGTTCCGTAAGTCAGATTTATTGGATGATATATATTTTTTCCAAAATTGCATCAAACAAACAGATTTAAAGAGAGTACAGTGCTACGACAAATTGCAACCTTTTGCTGATTGGTTTGTGTTTGGGAATAATCGTATTATATACGAATCAATAAAATGCCATGATAATTTGAATCAGTGTAAATTTGTAGCTTTTTTCTAAGCTTCAAGCAGACCATGTTATATTGAGTCAGCATTAAGCAGGGTCTTACTGTAATAAGAAAATATCAATAATGAAGAACATTAAATATTGTAATTATGATAGCATTGAGCTAAATTTGTTAGTTAAAAATAGCTTAAATTCATGCTACAGTATATAATGAATATGCTAACCAAAATAATTAAATATTTTTCACATTTTCCATGAGATAGCAAATTTTAACCATTTTGTAAGTATATATGAAATTAACAATAAAGGACTATATCTTAAAGTTCTTTTTCATTTAATACTGTGTACTATAAATTTATTGTGTCTGGAACAGGTATAAATTTGATAAATGTTGAAATATTATATATATTTTTTTAATTTTTTAAAATAATAATGAGTATGATCATGAACATGATATCATTTACAATGACTTCCAGAATGGTAATGAAATATAACTTCATTTCAGTTTACTTTTAAGAAAGAAAAGATAATTTCATTTTATGAAACTATCCTGGCAAGAAATTATTTCAAGAGATCCTGGCAAGAGATTACCCTAACTTTTTCATATGTATGTAACTATCTACAGAAGTCATATACAAAAATATTTTTAAAATGTTTTTAAAAAAATAAATCTAAATGATTGATTGATGCAAAACAAAGATTTTTTTTGGTACCTTCAAAATTGTTATGGTAGCTATATCACACAATTAGAAAAACTAAATCACAAACTCAATAGTCTTTATAAGCTGCATCCTTACCTTGAAAT